CTGAGTGGAGAGGGCAGGGCTGTGTGGATAAGTAAGCAGACCTTGTAAAGGTCCTGTCTCACTGCACCCAGTATGCCAGAGAGGCCAGGATCCCCTCCTAGGATCACACAGCAGTCTGCCTCGTGCCACGCACATCCTCCGTTATCAGTGGTCTGCTGCCCACGGCCGTCTGGGGGCTGATGTGAAATACCAGTGGGTTTGGACTCTGGTATTTCAACTCACTGGGGGTTGGGAAGAAGATCGGGAGCAAAGCACATACTCTCCAGATGGGGCAGACACGTTGCTACTATGTGGGAACACAAGAAACAGCAAAACCCCGGCACACCCAGCCTTCACCTAGCTCAGAGCACTGAAGGGGCTTGCCCAGGGTCATCTAACTTCTAGAGGCAGGGCCAGAATTCAAACCCAGACCAGTGCTGAGAAGAGGAGGAGGGTAAACAGTGTTTTTTCTGCTATCCAGGCGGCATCCCTGCCAAGGAAACTGACCTCCTGTCAGTCATCAAATAGTTAACTGAACACCTATGCTACCCCAGCTCCCTGAGCCAAAGAAGTGGACAGAAAGTAAATTTTTAAACACTGTATGTCATTTAACACACACATCACTAAACTTTGTAGAGACAAGCTTTCCTTTTTGACTGGCCAGCTGTGCAATCATAACAATAGTGGCAGAAGCTCTGACCACATGAGGTTATCAGATTCTGCTAAGGCCCAGGGTGGCTATGAAACGAAGCCAGGCACTGTGACTCACTCTTTTCCCTAACTGTAAGTGGGGCGTCATGCTATTTTCTGACCTTGAATACAATACCTAGATATGACTAAACCTTTTCAAAAGGACTTCGTTTTCATTTATGGAGAATCTACCTTTAGGCTTTCAGAGTTAATTTGCATAAAATGTGAACTTACCCCAAATACTCAACTAATGTTGATATTTTTTGAAGGGGCCCAAAGTATTACATTATAACTCAAAAACCAAACCTTTGGCATCCCTTTCAACTCAATTTGTTCTGTAACTTTACTTCCCCCCAACCCCCTACCAATATCTGCTATGTAAGGAAAAGGGGTTGTTTCCAGCTAGGGGGTGCCAGTTAAAACCACAAACGCTCACTCAAACGCATACTTCCCAGAACAGATGCTGCAGCTGATCCGTCCACCTGCACATTGAATGCACCCCCCGCCCCCCACACACTTGCGGAATGAGACCTCACCTCTCTCCCTTTGATAACAAGCCAGCTAGCCCGCTCTCTCCCTGTGTTCACTCACCTGCAAGAACATCTCTAGAGTCCATTCTTCGGGCTCTTTGCATTGTATGTGGGTTTTCTTTTCCCTTTTTGTTCTGGTTCAAAATAAAAGCAAGGCCTGAGTGACTTCAAATTTGGGTTAGGTGCTCACTCAGCAGATTTTCTAAGGCGGCAGAAAAACTCTTGAAAAGATGCTTTGCAGGGGTTCCACTTGGCCTTGGAGTGACAGTGGTCTGCTCTGAGATCCCTCTCGCCCTCTGCTGTTCCTTAAAACCCAAGTCTCAGAATGCGCCTTTCTCTCTTCCATGTCCAAAGCCCAGGACAGTGATCTGACTGAGAAGCGCCATAAAAACCCTGAAAACACTCCTGCTGAGAGAGGCATCTGATTTGGGGGTTCACCCTGGCTCCTTTCCCTTCGGTAAACACAGCCAAAACTAAAGCATCCTCTGGTCCGGGCTGAGCCGACTGGGGTTTACGTGTTAAGTCTCCGAGCTGCAGGTGACCACCCAGAGGCCTAACATTCAGGGAGCAGAGTACCCTGGTCAGCGGAAGTGCCGGCTAACCAAAGGACAACCCACTCGGGAGAACTAGGCAGCTGGTACTCAGGAATCTTTCAAGCATCTTGTCTAATCCCTTCCCTTTGTGTGGCTGAGGAAACAGACGGATGGATTAAGCTCCTCAAGGTCACCCAGCAAAGGCAGAAGGAGAAGGCAGCTTCCCAGCTGCTGCCCCACTGTGTGACGTCTCTGAGATGTAGGTGAGTCCACTTTCCTGCCTGGTCAGTCCAGTACAGTCAAACACAATTTTTTCTTTGTTGTATTGAATCTTAAGTTGCCTGAAGGTCTCCCTCTTCAGGATGACAAATGTTTTTTAAAAAAATGGGACAAAGCAATTGGTGACTCTGGTTAAAGGATGTCATTCCCGTTCTATCACTGTAACCTTCTGAGGTTGGAAATTTTATCAAAATAAAAGGTTACGAACAAAAAGATGGAGCTGTACACTGAATATACTATTCCCAGACACTTTCAAGGTTTCCTTTGATGGTTGGAGTTTAAATGAAACAGCACTGCTTCCAGCATGGGTGTGGTCTTGTCATTTGGAGCCACAATGAAGCAATCTGGCTAGGTGAAGTTTGTGGAGGGGTCTCGGCTCTGGATAATTGAGGTTTCCACTGTAAACTCTGCCAGGTGATCCCTGCCACAGTGACCAAGCCACTGCTTTAGCCCAGTTTCTCGGCAAGTTCTGTAAGTATGCTAAGCACACTTTTTCATGTTCCCATTCAGACTGGCCTGTGAGGAGCTGAAAATGGGATTTCACAACCCTTGACACTAGTCACTGAACCACGTGCACCAAGAACAAGTTAGTTCCCATCTGAACTTGCAAATGGATACCAAATTAGGGGGACACCCAATAAAACGCTGGGCTGAAGCCCCCAAGCTCCAGAGCAACAGCTTGCCTCTCCTTCCCTCCTCCCCAGGCTTGTTTTCTCAGGTGCACAGCCCCTTGAAGGAGGAAGCCAAGGATCACCTTGCCCTGTCCTCTGCAGGGGGCTGGACCCCACAGAAAACACATGAAGATCACCTGGACCTCAGAGCTGCCTTCTGCCCAAGGGGCCAGGGTGGGCACAGAGTATGTACTTCTAGAAAACAAAGAGGCCGATTTATGGAGAAAGTTCAGCTTAGTTATAATCATCTGTAAAGCACATGGACACTGAGAACGTTTCAACATCAGCCTATGAGTAAGGTGAGTCCCATTGTTTCTCAACCTCAGCTCACCCAACCTTTGGGGCCAGTGATCCTTTGTTTAGGGGGTGGCTGTCCTGTGTATTACAGGGTGTTTAGCAGCAAACCTGGTTTCTACCCACTGGATGCCAGTAGCACCCCCACACCTAGCTGTGACAACCAAAAATGTCTCCAGCTATTGCCAAAGGTTCCCTAAAGGGCAAGTTCACTGCCTGGTGCCCCTTGAGAACCCATGGGATAAGGAAATGCTCTGGGGGTAGGCACAGGTCAGGGAAAACAGCAGCAATTTATACCGCAGAGCAGACGCTTACCCAGCACTTCTCACTCAGTGTCTTGCTGGATGCAGGGACCCTGCAGCGCTGGTCTCCTTGCTCCCACTTTATAGGTGAAAGATTCATGTGACGTTGGGTGACTTGCCCAAAGTTGCCCAGAACAGCCAGAAGCAGTGCCCAGCCTTGAACCTGGATGTTCCACCCCTAAACTGGCTCCCCAAGACCGTAAAATACAGTGTTCACTGTGTTAGAATCATCTGAGATTCTCCTTAGGCTCTGGTGAGATTATTGGCCTTGGCCTTTCCCTTCCCCCCAGTGTGAGGAAGGTAGTTGAGTCTGAGGAGGGCTGGGCAGGGAAGGATGAGGATGAGAGGGAGCAAGGAAAGGGAGCAGGGGGGGAGGAGGGGTCCTCCGAAAGCTTTCTACTTAACAGCTTTGGTTTTCACAGACTATTTTTGTTTTCAAGCACCAGCTTGATAGGGACTGCTTTTTCTGGGGTGTCGGCAGGATCACAGAGGTTTCCAGGTACAAAGAAAAGATGCCTAGAGGACTGAGATCCGGGTTGGTCTCTGGTTACAGGAGGAAGGGGAAAGAAGAGTTTCCAGGCCTCCGAGAACTTTCTGGATGGCCATTTCACTCTGCCAGTTAACATGCACTGGGAATGGAATTAAGCCTGAAGATCATTTATTTATTTGTTTGTTTTTAAAGTGATCACTTGGTGACCACATGAGGTTATCAGATTCTGCTAAGGCCCAGGGTGGCTATGAAACGAAGCCAGGCACTGTGACTCACTCTTTTCCCTAACTGTAAGTGGGGCGTCATGCTATTTTCTGACCTTGAATACAATACCTAGATATGACTAAACCTTTTCAAAAGGACTTCGTTTTCATTTATGGAGAATCTACCTTTAGGCTTTCAGAGTTAATTTGCATAAAATGTGAACTTACCCCAAATACTCAACTAATGTTGATTTTTTTTGAAGGGGCCCAAAGTATTACATTATAACTCAAAAACCAAACCTTTGGCATCCCTTTCAACTCAATTTGTTCTGTAACTTTACTTCCCCCCAACCCCCTACCAATATCTGCTATGTAAGGAAAAGGGGTTGTTTCCAGCTAGGGGGTGCCAGTTAAAACCACAAACGCTCACTCAAACGCATACTTCCCAGAACAGATGCTGCAGCTGATCCGTCCACCTGCACATTGAATGCACCCCCCGCCCCCCACACACTTGCGGAATGAGACCTCACCTCTCTCCCTTTGATAACAAGCCAGCTAGCCCGCTCTCTCCCTGTGTTCACTCACCTGCAAGAACATCTCTAGAGTCCATTCTTCGGGCTCTTTGCATTGTATGTGGGTTTTCTTTTCCCTTTTTGTTCTGGTTCAAAATAAAAGCAAGGCCTGAGTGACTTCAAATTTGGGTTAGGTGCTCACTCAGCAGATTTTCTAAGGCGGCAGAAAAACTCTTGAAAAGATGCTTTGCAGGGGTTCCACTTGGCCTTGGAGTGACAGTGGTCTGCTCTGAGATCCCTCTCGCCCTCTGCTGTTCCTTAAAACCCAAGTCTCAGAATGCGCCTTTCTCTCTTCCATGTCCAAAGCCCAGGACAGTGATCTGACTGAGAAGCGCCATAAAAACCCTGAAAACACTCCTGCTGAGAGAGGCATCTGATTTGGGGGTTCACCCTGGCTCCTTTCCCTTCGGTAAACACAGCCAAAACTAAAGCATCCTCTGGTCCAGGCTGAGCCGACTGGGGTTTACGTGTTAAGTCTCCGAGCTGCAGGTGACCACCCAGAGGCCTAACATTCAGGGAGCAGAGTACCCTGGTCAGCGGAAGTGCCGGCTAACCAAAGGACAACCCACTCGGGAGAACTAGGCAGCTGGTACTCAGGAATCTTTCAAGCATCTTGTCTAATCCCTTCCCTTTGTGTGGCTGAGGAAACAGACGGATGGATTAAGCTCCTCAAGGTCACCCAGCAAAGGCAGATGGAGAAGGCAGCTTCCCAGCTGCTGCCCCACTGTGTGACGTCTCTGAGATGTAGGTGAGTCCACTTTCCTGCCTGGTCAGTCCAGTACAGTCAAACACAATTTTTTCTTTGTTGTATTGAATCTTAAGTTGCCTGAAGGTCTCCCTCTTCAGGATGACAAATGTTTTTTAAAAAAATGGGACAAAGCAATTGGTGACTCTGGTTAAAGGATGTCATTCCCGTTCTATCACTGTAACCTTCTGAGGTTGGAAATTTTATCAAAATAAAAGGTTACGAACAAAAAGATGGAGCTGTACACTGAATATACTATTCCCAGACACTTTCAAGGTTTCCTTTGATGGTTGGAGTTTAAATGAAACAGCACTGCTTCCAGCATGGGTGTGGTCTTGTCATTTGGAGCCACAATGAAGCAATCTGGCTAGGTGAAGTTTGTGGAGGGGTCTCGGCTCTGGATAATTGAGGTTTCCACTGTAAACTCTGCCAGGTGATCCCTGCCACAGTGACCAAGCCACTGCTTTAGCCCAGTTTCTTGGCAAGTTCTGTAAGTATGCTAAGCACACTTTTTCATGTTCCCATTCAGACTGGCCTGTGAGGAGCTGAAAATGGGATTTCACAACCCTTGACACTAGTCACTGAACCACGTGCACCAAGAACAAGTCAGTTCCCATCTGAACTTGCAAATGGATACCAAATTAGGGGGACACCCAATAAAACGCTGGGCTGAAGCCCCCAAGCTCCAGAGCAACAGCTTGCCTCTCCTTCCCTCCTCCCCAGGCTTGTTTTCTCAGGTGCACAGCCCCTTGAAGGAGGAAGCCAAGGATCACCTTGCCCTGTCCTCTGCAGGGGGCTGGACCCCACAGAAAACACATGAAGATCACCTGGACCTCAGAGCTGCCTTCTGCCCAAGGGGCCAGGGTGGGCACAGAGTATGTACTTCTAGAAAACAAAGAGGCCGATTTATGGAGAAAGTTCAGCTTAGTTATAATCATCTGTAAAGCACATGGACACTGAGAACGTTTCAACATCAGCCTATGAGTAAGGTGAGTCCCATTGTTTCTCAACCTCAGCTCACCCAACCTTTGGGGCCAGTGATCCTTTGTTTAGGGGGTGGCTGTCCTGTGTATTACAGGGTGTTTAGCAGCAAACCTGGTTTCTACCCACTGGATGCCAGTAGCACCCCCACACCTAGCTGTGACAACCAAAAATGTCTCCAGCTATTGCCAAAGGTTCCCTAAAGGGCAAGTTCACTGCCTGGTGCCCCTTGAGAACCCATGGGATAAGGAAATGCTCTGGGGGTAGGCACAGGTCAGGGAAAACAGCAGCAATTTATACCGCAGAGCAGACGCTTACCCAGCACTTCTCACTCAGTGTCTTACTGGATGCAGGGACCCTGCAGCGCTGGTCTCCTTGCTCCCACTTTATAGGTGAAAGATTCATGTGACGTTGGGTGACTTGCCCAAAGTTGCCCAGAACAGCCAGAAGCAGTGCCCAGCCTTGAACCTGGATGTTCCACCCCTAAACTGGCTCCCCAAGACCGTAAAATACAGTGTTCACTGTGTTAGAATCATCTGAGATTCTCCTTAGGCTCTGGTGAGATTATTGGCCTTGGCCTTTCCCTTCCCCCCAGTGTGAGGAAGGTAGTTGAGTCTGAGGAGGGCTGGGCAGGGAAGGATGAGGATGAGAGGGAGCAAGGAAAGGGAGCAGGGGGGGAGGAGGGGTCCTCCGAAAGCTTTCTACTTAACAGCTTTGGTTTTCACAGACTATTTTTGTTTTCAAGCACCAGCTTGATAGGGACTGCTTTTTCTGGGGTGTCGGCAGGATCACAGAGGTTTCCAGGTACAAAGAAAAGATGCCTAGAGGACTGAGATCCGGGTTGGTCTCTGGTTACAGGAGGAAGGGGAAAGAAGAGTTTCCAGGCCTCCGAGAACTTTCTGGATGGCCATTTCACTCTGCCAGTTAACATGCACTGGGAATGGAATTAAGCCTGAAGATCATTTATTTATTTGTTTGTTTTTAAAGTGATCACTTGGGGAAACTTCAGATACTCACAGCCATTGGCAATGTTCTGATGGGCTTAAGGCAAAAAGCACACTTCACCCCAGCTCTTATTACAGCCCCACTGCCAAATCTCACCTCCTAAAACACAGGGAATTTGAAACGCAGTCACGAATCCAGGTGTGTTTAGCTACCTCTCTCTTCCCATTCTCCTGGGTGATTCGGCCTCCTGTGGTCCTGCTGTGCAGCAGGCCTCTCCACATGGCCGACACTTGGAGGCTGTTTCCAAACTGCTTTTGGGAAACAGAATAATTTGTATTTTCAATCTGGGAGAAAAAATAAAATGTCAGGCTGAATGAAGACCATAGGGCAGAAAGGATTCCTCTGTCTAATGACAATGTGAGGCTCCATGGAGGTAGGGGAGGGACTAAAATGACCAGTTAGAGAAAGAGATTTACTAGCCTCTTAAATCCAACTTTGGAGGGAAAGGTAAGAAGAAAAGAAGAAGCCCTTTTGGAGACTGGTGGATAATTCTCTGTACTTAAACGTTTTGCTCAGCAGAAGAGAAAACCGGGGCTTAGAAGTGACAAAGGGGGACTGAAATACAGATCTCAACCTTCTGCTTAATAAATGCCATAAGACTGAGAAATAGATTTGCTCTCTTAAAAAAATAAAAAGGGCAGGGCACTGAACAATCACCTCCCCTGACAACTGCTCTTTCTCTTGTCTTATCTGCCAGCAAGCTTCAATATTAGCTCACTTCACTACACAAACAATTCCTATTACAGGACTCTTAGTCATCCTGTTTTTCACTTTCTTCCACAAAGCAGAAGCCATGAAGGTCTGAGTATCCTCGCTGGGGCAGTCTTTTCCCAGACCCGGTTCCCAGCCTCCCACCTCCTGCCCCATCAGGTTTGCCTGAAGGCAGCACCGTGAATCACTTCCTGTGGGCAGTCTGCACGTTTGGGGGGTAGGGGGAGCTTTCCCTTCTTTTCTTTGGAGAAGATTCTCACAGACTTTTGGGGTTAAACAAGTGGAACCAGGCGAGGATGATAACTGGCTGCCTTGCCCTATCATAACTGGCTGCCTTGCCCTATCAAAACAAATCAGTTTTCAAAGACTTACAGAAACTGGCAGGCGGGCATTCGTGACTTAGGGGAGTCTGGGGGAGGCGGAGGTGAAGAGGGCAAATCAGGAGGTTTTGTGTTAATTGCACAGTTTTGACTTCCTTAATTATGAGTCACAGAGAGATAAAACAATGTCACAAGTGTTGACATGCAAAGGGTGAGCTGGGCAGCTCACTGACTCCTGAACTGAGAGGGGCAGCTTCTGGGCAAGGCTCCCTCAAGCGCCAATTTTACAATTCCTAGTGCAACGCCACAGAATAGAAACTGGAACAGGAACATCCGGGAATTTCAGTCTTAACCACATTTACAACTCTTTCCCTATTTTTAAAATAAGCCCCAAAGCCTTTAGAATCCTCAAACCTTTCAGTTCAGCCACCAGGGGGGAGCTGGAAGTAAGTGAGACGTGGGAAATAACCACATTTCTAGAAAAAGTGAGTTTAAGGACCATGAAGTTAAACAGCTAATTTTGTGTGCAGAAATAGGGCATTTATTTGCAGGACAGCAATCTCTAACATGTCACAAATACTCTGCTTCCTTCTGAACCAAAGCTTTACAAGCTTACATAAGCACTTTCCATCTAACGGGTAACAAAAATGGATGTCCTGTATATTCTGGGCACCGGTATCCTCAGGACAGTTAAGCAGCCAATTAGCATTCCTTTCAGTCTAAGGAGACAGACCTCCTATTGTCCTAAACAAAAGGTTCTGGTTCACTGGGGGCAATTTCACCTAAGACAGCAAAGAACCCCTATGGGCAGGAAGATAGGAATTCCAAATAAACAAGAAGGGAGGACTTCAGAGAAGCCAGGCAGGCACTTGCAACTCAGGGTGGTAACAGCCTGCTGCGTAAGCTGGCCTCATCAACTAAATGGCTCTTGGCTAAAAGCTGCATCCCAAAAGCAGCTCCTAGCAGGAGCACAGGAAGGCTTCCAGGTGAGGCTCCCTCCCCGGGCTCCCAGTCACTTACAACTCTCTCCCATACCCAGCCCACCCAGGCCCCGCCAAGATTCCCAGTAGCACCCACTCACCACCTCACCAGACTCTTACTTCCCAGAAAGCAGACAGATGTTTTGAGGCCTGATTTACAGGTACAGAAATTCAAACTGCTTAAGTCACCCAAGCAGCAGAGGTAACACATCGCAACCATAGCATGAGAGCGTGGGCTTCTGCACCTCCAAGCCAGAGATCTTCAGCCAGTGGTGGCATGCTGATATGTGTGTCTGGAGGCTTGCATCAGCCCTATGGAAGGCCCATCTATGCCTCTAGCTCAAAAACTGTCCCATCTATGGCTCTTCCTGCAGAATAACCTCTCTCAGTCCTTCCTCCTTCAAAGTCTTATAAGTCTCTGCTATCCTACACTCAGCATCACTTAGCACCAAAGGTGTGGTGCTATTAAATAACTTCCCTGTGTTTCTGGCTTCCCTTCCCAGCTAGATAGGAGCTCCTTGAGGGTAAGACCAAACTCAACTTTCTCTGTACCCTATTTGGAGCACAGGGCTTGCATATTACATTTGCTCACAAGTAGGTCATGATAGTGGAATTATTCCTCTGGGCATCAACAGTCAGAAGATGGAGGAAACAAAAAAACCCTCAGGTGCACTCCAGCTCTATGAACCCATGATGGCATCAATCAAGCCTTACAGCAAAGGGATCACAGACGCACGTTCCTGCCAGACACCCAATACCAGGACTGCTCTTTAAGCAATCATCTGGTCTTGAGAGGTGCAAGTACAAACGGCAAGGGAATGACAGGCACAGGTGCAAGTCAGTGAGGCTGAAGCAGCCAGTGGAAGTACAGAAAGATAAAATGGTTTTGAATGAAGAGGTCCTGCCCACTTTACTTACCATACCAGAAAGAGAAAGGAAAAGTCATCTACGGCTAGGGTTGTAGGCAGGCATTAGATAGAAGGCTTTGTAATAAATTTGCTCAACAAATAGTTGTTGAGTGGAGATTTTTGTCAGCATTGGATTTACCCAAAGAGAAAGCATGCAGACACTGGGCTACACTGGGGTGTCTGTGCTCTTCACACTGGCTGTGATGCTGAACAATGGGGAGGGGGTTCTGTAGGTAGGGGTGATCCCAGTTATAAAATGATGGAGCCAACCCACCTCTAGTGTCTCCTTGCCTTCTAGAACTGATATTCCACATGCCTGTGAAATACGCTGATTTTCAGTGAAAGTACCTTAAAAGGGGCAGTGTTTCCGCTGCCATTCCTTTACTGCATTTAAGCATATAGGGCCTCTGAGAAAACAAACTTGAATCATCAATAGCAGCAGGGAAAATACATGATCAAGAATGGGGACTACTAACAAAAATTCCTTTCTTCCCTACTATAAATGGAACAGAGAGGGTTAGACAGAAACTTCAGAACCTGGACTCTTTCTATAAATCAAACCCCAAATCTAACAGTAATCTCAGCAAAACAGTGGCAAGTCACAGCTGTGACATGATATGAAGGAAATAAATTAGTATCAGATAACTCCCTGAGAACGAAGGTAGCTTCCAACCAGAAAGGTGAGGGAGGGTGCAGAACTGCTGACCTCGGAGATCAGAGGCCATGCGGTGAATGACAGGGCTCACACACGTGCTCCCCATCCGCGGCTGGCTTTGGCGGAACCTGACCCGGAACCAGGAGTGAACACAGATGACCTCTTGTAGTATATTCCAGGCTTAGGAACCAGAGAGCTTTGGAGCTGGGGGAAGGGGGCTCCAAATACCAGCCATTTCGTCCCCCGCTCTTGTATTCCCACACAGGAGGACACAGAAACGATTACCCAGGGATCCTGCTGAATGGATGCCAGTGTTCTTTTCTCTACTCCAGGAATCCATGATCCCAGAACTATCTGTGACCCAAAAGGGAAAACCCAGCTGTGGGCTAACAAAGAAGCTAACACCGCAAGAAAGCGCAGGGACTCCACAAAGAGCAGGAAGCCCAGAGAGGTTTCTGTGAAGGGGAATTGCACCCTGGCCCTTCCCAGCCCCGACGCAGCCAGCTGGGGGGCCCCAGTGCCCTTTCGGCCTGGATTTCAAGTAAGCCTGGGCCTTCTCCGGCTGGGCCGTAAACAGTTCCGGCTCTCTCCTCCCTCCTCGCCAGGCGGCAGGACACCCCTTGCCACTGGGGCCTGGATTGTTTGCTAACAATGGAGGGAACATTAAACAAGGACGGAAGACGGGAAGTGAATCACTGAATTCTCAAACAGCCTCCTAGGAAGGAGCAGGGCAGTGGGAGGGGCCTGGAGGAGCAGGAAGGAAGGTTCCCAGGTCCTCTTACCCCACAACGGGGCGCCCTCAAGCTCTGCCCCGCTGTGACCAGGATGCCGCTCCACGCAAGGGCGAGATCAAGCCCCTGAATTACCCTGGCCACTCCATGAAGCATCCCCGTGTTCCCTGTTCCCTCCATCAGGCGGAAGCAGGGGGAGAGACGCAGGAGTACTCCTCTCCACTGACGCACCTTTGCCCCCAAGCCCCTGAAAATGTCTGAACGTGAGACCAGTGGCTGTGGGCTCTCCCGGCAGAGGGAATGGGCCCATTCTCTCTCCTGCCCAGGATGCCAATTACTAAAAAAAATAAACCCCGTGGGGCAATAGCTGGGCAGGACTTGAGATGGCATCAGAGAAAGGTCCCCGCCTGCCCTGCTCACGCTCTGCACTGTTCCTGGAAGCTAGTGTCGGTGCGGCCACGCCGGCCAGACCTCCCCTCCATGGACCAACTACCTGCCCTGGGCCTGAAATCTGGTCTCTTCCAGGACTGTGTCCTATTTCATTCATACAGTGTGTGGGATGTGCGCAGGCTCACTTTGCAGCTCCAAGCAGGAAGAGCACGTGGTCGGCCAGTCTGTTTATTCAGGGCCTACTATCTGCAAGGCACTTGGTGAGTACCTACCTCAGTTTTCTTAACTTTGCAAAGGATCCCGGACTGATAGACCAGACAGCTATGATTCTGGGTGCAAGAACAGAGCCAAGGGCACCTACAGCTTCTCCAAAGCTCCCCTAATTTTTGCTTTACAGACTCTTTTCATAACTAGCTTTTCCCCTCCCTGCCTCACCATCATTAAACAGGTCACATCGACGAGTTGCTTCCTATAAGCAAGTTCTTTGCTAAATACTTTATATACTTTAATCCTATAGAACAGGGCCCCATTTTCCAAAAGATGACAGTGAAGTTCAGAGAGGTTAAGATTGTTCCAGGTGGTCACACAGCAAGCAGGAGAGCAGAATGAAACTCTGAATTCCATGCACAAGAGCTGAGGCCTTCCCATTGTGTCATGCTGTTGCCCTGCACACCCGCTTGCCTTGAAGGGGGACATGGAAGAAACAAGATGAGACTGGAAACTGAGACCTGGCTCCTCTCTCTGCCACCTGGGGGACTTTAGGCAAGGTTTCCCTGGGCCAGTTCCCTCGCCAGGAAGAAGAGTGTACCTGGGAAGACTGTCAAGGTCTCACATGAGAGATGGCGCTACACCAGTGTAGGGAATCACCCATCACCTTTCTTCCATGAGCCAGGAAACACTGCCCACCATGGCCGCTTGCTGATCATTCACCCCTGGATTTCTAAGGCCTTCCTGTAACAAGCTGGTGCCCAGGTCAGGACCTTGTGAGATGTGAGAACATTCTAGAAACATTATCCAAGCACACGTTATGTTGCCTTTTTTTTAATGGTACAAGCAGCTGTGAACACAGTTTGAGAGATTAACAACTTCTTTCCCAAGCCTACCAGATTTGGTCAAGTCTTCTTGAAACTCTTACCCTCACAGA